GCTTTACCTTACAAATATATATGGGTTTTCGGCCACATCTATGCAAAATACTCCCCCAGTTCCAAAATACTTGTCTTTCTAGACATTTCAAATGGACACAACATATGAATGTATGTAGACATATTTTAGAGTGTAGATTCGCTCATTTTGCTCCGTATGTAGTCACTTGTTGAAATCTCTAGAAAGACAAATATTTAGGAACGGAGGGAGTAGAAGTGATGCATGAATACAAGAACTTTGGCTAAAACATTGCAATCACAAGGACACATAATCATGACAATTTTCAAAAAACAATGTATCATCAGAATATCTGATTGTCTTCTTTCGTTTATTTGCCACTATTTCTTCAATTTCTACTTTCTCTTCCTACCCTATCCTTAGCTAATCCACATAATAGCTTGGACCATATATGTCCTTTGCACATGGATGTTTTTTCTTTATTCTTAAAATCAATCACCTCATGAAGCATACGGGCCTCAATACAAAAAACACGTCATCAAGAGTACGTCGCAATGTGGTTAGCCTAAAAACAAGTTACATCGCAAAAATCAACAGAGCGTAATCAATTGTTATTAAGCTTAATAGGATCGAAATAACACGCTCCCCCAGCCACAAAGCAGAGTATCTTCCATAAAAAAACAGAGTATCTCCCCTCACTGAAAAAAACAGAGTATTTAACTTTGCTACAAAGCAGGTTGTGAAGCACAGAAAACCAGTCTTAACTTTCAGCCACTGCTTCACCCTCAGTGCAACGTACACCTCCACTCCACTCACCTGTACCAATGGGGTGTGATCTCTTTGATTTTCATCTCCAGCAAGCACTGCTTAATAACCATGCTTTACAGCCTGAAAATAGCCACATAGATATTAGTATATGTACAACAAAATATAAATAAATGCTCGACATACAGCAAGCCACCGGAGGCATTGCTCCTAAAGGGCATTCAATATTGTATATGTATCATTCGATTACTACTTAATTGAACAAACTTTCACCCTTTTACACTATACAATATAAAGCAAGATTTGAAATCGAACAGGAACAGAGTACTTGGTTTCTTTGAGATATAAAACATCAAGCCTCGTATGTAGGACCAACATTGCATAGGTGTAAAGGTAGAAATAATTTGTACTCTTTACATCGTAGCCGGAAGGGACAGTTATTATGCACATGTAAATGTCTGAAGTACTCCCTCCGTCTCAAAATTCTTGTCTTAGATTTGTCTAAATACGGATGTATCAAGTCACGTTTTAGTATTAGATACATCCGTATCTAGATAAATCTAAGACAAGAATTTTGGGACGGAGGGAGTATGCAGGGCCGGCCCATAGGCCAGGCAAAAGGGGCGACCGCCCCGGGCCACAAGAGGGGAGGGGCCCAACTAAAACTTACATTAGTAAGATCTGTTCAAGTATACATTACATCTAAAAGATTATTAAATTCATAAAATAGAGCCTCAATTTGCAGAAGCATAAGTTCACACCACATACTGATAAGTTATACCACGCTTAGGAAAATCAAACTGACTGGCGGAATTGAGTTCAAATACATTAGTCTCTCTTTACGATGCATGTTTTAGTATCATAATGAAAATTATGATATCTGAATTTCAATGTTTAAACCAATACATAATTTTAGTCCCATAAACGTGTAAGCATCTCATTTGCACCAAACCAAACCAAGTGAATCTGGACGAGCATGTTAGGTAACCGAATCATGTGTAAAAGTATAATGAACAACATTTTTGGTTCTTCGAATTACTAAACCGAACATGCAAGCCACATTTTCTATGCCCTATAAGTTTCCATGAATATGACTGCCTAATATACACTAGAAATCGCTATAAAAATATTTTTTAGTGTGTCTATAATTTATAAATATCTATCATAATATTCAATATAATATTAAAAGATATATGAACACACGCATGTATATGCAAATGTGCATACACTACATCGTTTATGCAGTATTAGAAAAATAAATATGAAAGATTGTCTTAACAATAAAGAAAAGTTTTGGTACATCATAAAATTTTCATTTTGTAAAATTAAAATTTTCAATTATATACATTATAGATGCGTACAAATTAATAATATAAATGTTATTTGAAAACATTTTATGTGGCTAAGTAATAAAAAAATATTAATTACAACTGTAGTATGGTACACTTAGTTTAAAATAAGTATAAAAGTTTAATATGAAAAAAAAATTATGTCGCCCCGGGCCCAAAAATACATTGGACCGGCTCTGGGAGTATGAAGCAACAATAATATGCATTGATAATCGCATTGCAAAATTATACACAGCAAGGGTGTCATGGCTCTTCAGCCCAGCGAGTACCAGTCTAGGTCAGTTACTGCTTGTCGATGTTCACCTCCCAGCTGAGCCCAGATACATCAATATGTGTTTCTATCCATTGGCCCAATTCAATGGCTCGCTTTGGCACAATCGGTTGCAACATAATTACAGTGTATAAATCAGTGTGATGAGAAATGAAAAAAAGGATGCTTTTTTTAAACTGTAGATGATAAGGTACAACTTCATATGTAGTTATGCATGGAACAATAGAGCAGGTAGCATGCCTCGTTATTCTCTTGAAAATTGACAGCAGTCAGCGTATAATAGGAGTTCAACCTCTAGATTTATGTATCATTAGTAGCCCATGACTTAAGACAACCATAGCAAATTGATGGCGAACTCATGAATGAAATTATGTACCTGTTTATTAATTAGTATATCACACGTAGAGTTTTCATAAAGCAATTTCTTCCAATTTCAAGTAATCTACTTAACTATCTTAGGAGCAATAGCACTTTGATGATGTAAACTGAAGTCTCACCTGAAGTCTGATGCCAATATGCTTGCATGACAGTTCTTCAGCATTTCCAGTTTTCTAAGATGAAGAGAAATACTGGCAGATGGCAATATGCTAGCTTGCCTGGTAGTTTGTATTTTACAACACTACATAGGTCAGCCACTCCATGAGAAATAAACAGAGCTAATAAGGAAGACTACGAAAGCACATTGTAGCAATTCAGATACTACAACTTGGTACTAATAAGAGTTGTGGTAACCAAATAGTTTTCATCAACTACTCCTCACCTGCAGGCATCTTACTCTAGGATTGATAGTGAAAAGTGCTTGCCCTTACCTTTCATAAAAGTAATGGAGTCTGAATCAGTGGAAAAAATGATACATGTATCAATTAATGTGCATTGTCCTGTTTGTTAAGAGGGACAACTCAAACTTTAGTTTCAGTATCTGCTAGTGGTTTATATATCTTGACCAAGGATCATCTCAATATCTGACATGACCCTGTTTGTTAGAGGGACAAATGATCCACCTATTTCTTCATACATGTAGGCATCACTCACAACTTCTTAGCTTTCGAGATAACACGGACATGTTTCCGAACATTTTATCGGAGAACTTGAAAAACTAAATTAATAAAAACGAGCAAGCCGTTTCCAGGCTCATAACTACAAGGATTTTATTTCAACTCG